CCCGTTATTCTAACCATTAATTTTTAGCACATTTATACGTACACACACACACACACACACACACACACACACACACACACACACTTCTCCTACCTTGTAAATAACAGTCGTCATAACCAAGAAGATCCATTTTCATATTTGTACACAAAACTTGTTGTTCTCTTCACTGACCAGTGTCCGTGACCTAGGTATTGGTCTTTTTTACCGTCTTTAAAATTGTATCATCTGAAAGTCTTTATCATGAGCCCGCCACACCCATCTTCGTATTTGGTTCATTTCCTTGATAGGTGGACATATTTCACTGATACTTCTTTTAAACTGGCTCCTGTAACTCAATTCAACCTGATTCGCTTCCCTTTGTGTCCTATATAGAATCTCACAACACGATTTACACCTGATCCTGCTCTTTTATAAGTTGATGTCCGTCTTGACGCCTTCCTCTGTCCACTCCGTGTGTGACACTGACCCTCAGGACACCGGTCAGTTACTGGTTACTCACTAGTCAATCCACAGGACTATATCCGTGTCCACGTAGTCAAACTCAATTTAGTCCTGCGAAACTTCGCGTAGACCCCCCCATAAGATGGGTCACATGGCTTTGCCTCGGTACATTGCAATACTTGACTGTTTAATATGTGAAAATTCAACGGCTTCCTTATATTAGCAATTATGCCAGTTTTGTTTATAGTTCTCCATGTAATATAAATCAGCTCTATCCTGCCTTGGATTCAAGTGCTTTGGACAATGTTTTCAAGTGGAATGTGAAAGTAGCATAATTACGGTTAATTTTTGGTCTCATTTGCAGAGAGAGGTAATGTCATGACATTACAACCAACAAAGAGGCGTTTAACCCAATATTTGCGTTCCTGATGAAAGGAAAATGCAAATAACCAAGACAAGTCTTGGCGAAGACGATATGTTTTACAGGTAGTATTTATACACAGTATAGTTCACTTACGAGTATGTATTACTCGCTTTCTCGTATACTGTATTCAAGTAAGCCGGACCACAAATTCATCCCATGAAACGTGGAAAACAAGTATATCTTGTCTTTTGTGATATTTGTACTGAAAACACTCACGGGATGTTTTCCTAACCTCGTCTTCCTACCCAACAGTATAATTCCCTATTTTCTGAATCCTTCAACCATCAAGGAGACGAACAAGGCCTGTTCATTGTTCCCTTTTTTCCTTTCGATGATTCAATCCAGATTTTTCTCTCCGTCTGACTGAGTATCACAAGACTTATGGGATCTAGACTGTAATGCACTTAAGCCTTCTCTATAATGTTATTCAGTCTAACAGAATTTAGCAAACTGTCGTCACTAAAATTGCACAGAATTCAGGCTGTGAATCATTCAAAACGTTTTCAAAATTTCCATTTGAAACGGATCTAACATGTAGGCCTTTATAAATCACCGACTTTCTTCAAAGGTAACGCGTTCAGCAACTCCCCTACGTAATCAAGACGTACCGTACTAATGGCACTCAGCGTATGAAAACGTGAATCCTTTAAAACCATGTACACTATATAGTCTGTTAAGTGTATTCTTCTTTTGTAGTTACTTAAAGCCAGTGACATTTTACATCAAACTCAGCCATGATGTTGTCAAACGCTTAGTTATGGATTGCATCCACCCCCTAGGCAGAGGGGATACCGCCGTATAGCCGAATCGCACAGTACGTACCACGAACTCAACGTGTACTCTTCACTCTCGCCGGGAACGCCGAGAACGCAGCGGTGTCTTTGAGAATCCAGTGTTTTCCCTTTCAGTCCTAAATCTTTCAGGAAAGGCTCCTTGTCTTACATTCACTCCCTACGTCAAGTCATGAGGAGTCTTCAAGTTCACCAGAGATTAGAGCCATGTCCTTTGGGTACTCTATCCCAAAGGCTTTTCACCAGATCGCACCACGGCCTAGGCTGTATGCGGCTTGAATGTTGATACTACCCACCACAAACGCTAAGCGGACCACAGAGCTCAAGCCTCCCGCGGAAGTTGCGGTATTGTGAACGCAACAATACTAATTGCTTGTTTTACCGCACGTAAATACATAGTCCGCACTCACGCTGGCTGAGCAAGTCCACATCCCTTTCACTGCGGTGTACACTGTTTGGGCTTGTGTATTGGCTTTTAAATGGAACGCTTACTTATGCTTAACCCAGAAGTCATGTTAACACTCTCGTGTGCTGGCCCCGTGACCCCCACTAATCCGCGCTGTTTTGTCTCCTGAACGCGTGACGAGGCTCGAGATTAGCCGAGACACGGGATTATTTTCGGGGATTATCCCCGGGTCCTGTTTCCAGTTCGTTTGAATTTCTGTCAGGAAAAATTAGACGGGTCTCTAGGGGAAATATTCTTAATGATCTGATAAATGTAGCTCCATCTCATCCCCACCCAAATATAAAAGCTCAGCTACATGTATCTTTAATCCGGTGGAGAGAGAGAGAGAAGCGGATGGGCTGAATGATGTCACATTCTTGTGACGTCACATAGGACGCTTTAGAAAACAATAATTTTTATTACAGGAAGGAGGAGAAATTTTTTTCTTTAATTCAAAATTGGGTGATTTGGAGCGAAATTACACTGGTAACTTAAAGGCAGAGAAGTCATTTCTGAGTGGATTTTGTAAACTGACTAAACTGGCCATGTAAATTTATTTATAAAGGAAAGTTGCGAAAAGATAAGAATATATTTTTTTGGCATTAGATGTGCTTAATGGCCATCCATAGTCTCTCTCAACTTCTGTCTCGTAATGAGTACAACAACCTGATTGCTAATGGTTGCTTTGTTGCGCGCCAGGACAGAATAATGGCAATTAGGGGGTTTAGTTGGGGGGGGGGGGGGGGGTGGTGGTGCGGGAACAGTGGTCACGTGCATCTCTCTTATGTTTTGGGGTGCAGGCTATGCCCACCTTTTCCCTTTAAAAAATAGTATCACGAGCGAAACGAAACAAAAGCAAGCAGCTGTTTTATCGCTGCCCCCTACAATTTATAACAAAAAATGTACGTTTCGTCAAATGGTTTATATTTGCCGATGCATTTTTCTTTGGAATTTTGGGTCTCTTTTCCCTTATTCAGCAGAATACCACATGTACTGCATTTCCCTCAATAAAAACGCACAAACACTCTACTGTCGCATCCCATCGCGCCTGAAGATTTTCAAATACTTTTTTAGCAACCTGGTTGCTAGGTAACGATAATTAGTCAATTTCCGGTTTACGTCTGGTGGTGAGCATTAGACACCTGCAGTTACCCTGGGTTTCAGAAGTCACGAGAAATCAACCACAGTTATCACCTTGTCAACGTGACTTACAAGTGACCTGTGACTTTCAGGGTGTAGGCATTTATAATGCTGCTGACTACTACGCGTGCATTTATTCCGTTTTAGAACTATAGCTACAGTGTACTTTACCGCCCGTTTAGCCCGAGGGAGACATTAACAATTAATGCAATGTTTAAATTAAGACGATTATTTCATTTTCTGAATGAACGCTTTAAATACTTACGGTCACAGGGGTCAGACATCGCAGCCGAGCTTCAAATAAAACATGCCAGGGAAAACGATCTGTTTTTCAACTTGTTTAAGAGCGGATCGAACCTCGTAGGGACTGCGTATTGTTTTGTTATTTTGTCAACACCAGCGTTTCTATTTAGCTCATCTTTTGTTCTTTGTCTATGAGAGATTATAACTCGTGGGAAATCAAACAGGGGAAATGTGTATGTGAACGAATATTGCTATTATGGAACGTATGAATTGCTCTCCTATTTATTCAAGTATGTTTTTTTATTGAAACGTAATGCAAGGTTTTCAGATTGTTTTCCATCAAAACAAACAATGATAATGAAACCACCAAACTTTTTATATAGCTCTCATGATTGCGCATAGTTACATTAACAATAGTGAGTGTGTCTCTTGCGTTAATTATCGTGCTAAAATAATAAAAAAAATTCTTAACAACTGGAAGATAAAAAAAAATTACATCTTTTAATTTTACGTCTTCACTGATATAGTTTTACATGTAGCTGCGTCGTACGAACAGTATAGCACCAGTAAGACCTGCCAAAATATTTCTTTCCAAAATAACATCCAGACCAATTTCCACATAAATAAAGAAATGAAAAGAAAAGAATACTAAGATCTACGGAGCTTTGTTAGTATCATATTAACTTTTTTTAATTTTCATTTAAGTTTTATGTTATGGAATTTTCACCGCGGTGAAAATTATTTCTACCGCGGTGAAAAATAATTTACACCGCGGTGGGAATCAATTTTCACCGCGGTGGAAAATAATTTTCACCGCGGTGGAAAATACTTTTCACCGCGGTGGTAATTCCTGGCCATCTCGGCCCGGGTAATGCATACATGTAGGTTATAGGAATCCAACATTTACCAGATGTCTGGAAAGGACGTTGATAAAGACAAGCACATGCACATGAACGCGGTTTAACCGGTCTATGTGCCAATCATACCAGGAATCTGGAGGAAGCGGGCAGTATTCAAATAGATTAAAAATCACCGAAATGCTGCAATGTTGTACCTGGCTTTTCCCTTTATAATAACTTGCGTATTATTGGGAATATTGGTAGAAAGAAACCTTTCCAAAGAAACCGAGATTACATCTATTAAGATAAGATCTAAGAAACACATTACAAAAATATTTAAAAATACATTGTCCAAAAATAACGTTAATTATTTAGTAATAACAATGGGATTCCCTTTGCATAAAACTGCAAGCGGGACTTTAATTATATAGGTGGTAAATATAGATGGGAAACTGAAGTTAACGGCAGTGGCTCCACGAACAGATACACCAACCTTGTGTGTATGTAACAACAGCATGCACCGTGACGGCATCTGGCAAATGTAAGGTTCTCACTACCTATTCATCACCCGGGCCGAGATGGCCAGGAATTACCACCGCGGTGAAAATTATTTTCCACCGCGGTGAAAATTATTTTCCACCGTGGTGAAAATTAATTCCCACCGCGGTGTAAATTATTTTCACCGTGGTGAAAATTATTTTCACCGCGGTAGAAATAATTTTCACCGCGGTGAAAATTCCATAAAATAAAACTTAAATGAAAATAGAAAAAAGTTAATATGATACTAACAAAGCTCCGTAAAGATCATTTAATCCTTTATGATATTTTCACAAATTTGTTTACCTATTTGTTTTGTAATTATAATAAATCATTCAGAAGGATTAAGGTATACCATTATATGGGGAAATGACTAACATAAGGGAGGAGTCCAGACATATGATGACCAAACGGTTCTTATTTGGCTTTTTTTTATCACTCGTTTTCAAGATAACGAAACAATAAATGGGACCGCATTTCACGACTTCTACCCAGTTTCTTTTCCAAAGTCTGTATTTATTTCATAATGCTTTGCATCATTTTTTTTTATGATACAGAAATAATGAGAACCCAAATTTAAAATAAAGCCCGTCTCACCAAATTACATAACGCCATCCGTATGTTATCAAGCGCTTTTAATAATAGTTTCAATGTTATGAAATTGTGGTTGTGTAT